TGCCATCTCCAAACCTGCAAACCTTGAAGTTGGACAGCATGGTACAGATGGTGGGTGAGCAATCTTCCTTTGTTTTGACTAATCCCTATACAACTGAGTTTACACTAAGTATGGTTTGAAGCCGAGGAACCTCTGAATCTGAGGCCATGCTACTCAACCAGAAAAATATGCCATGCCCTCTCTGGGGTGGGTAACAAGGTCCTTCCTCAAGTAGAGGTGTTCAATTCTCTCGTGGTGCAGTGTGTGCGGTGATGCGGTTGCTGTATCTGACCATTGTGGCGAACAGACAAAAGGCAAAGCTCTTGATTTACCAGTCGATCTATGTTCCCACCCTCACCTTTGGTCATGAGCTTTGGGGAAAGGACGAGATCGCGGATACAAGTGGTCGAAATTATCTTCCTCCGCGGAGTGGCTGGGCACTCCCTTAGAGCTCTGGCAATCCAAAATGGCGGCATATTGAAATCATTAGCTAGTGCTCAGTGGCGCATGAAGCTACCATGGGCACCGGAAGATTATTGGAGCCCTCCCACATTGTGGGACAGTTCAGGATTACAAGGGACACTAATATGGGACTGACCTTTATGAAAGATGTAAGTTCTCTGTCAGCTGAGATTGAGCCGTTTTAGTTAACCTTGGGTTCAATGGAGAAAATGCCTGGGTAGCCCACTTGAATTTAGTCTTATTTAGTCTGCAGTACTGCGGACCTGTTGTCAGGTTGCACACCTGAGCCTGTGGGTCCTTCAGCTATAAACTAGTATTCCCCTATCCAGTTATGATCAAAGATCTATGGTTCTGCACAACACCACCTACATGACACGTTGAAGAATAAACATGAAGAAGTGTGTGTGGATAGGGATGTCTGGGCGTCTCTGCTTAGACTGTTGCCTCCACAACCTGGCAACGGGTAAAGTTGAAGAAAATGGATGAATGGATGGAGTTGAGTATTATTGTGAGGTGTCTTTGCTGTGTTTACATCCATCTTGGAGGAAAAAGTACAAAGGTACAATTAGAGATGCACCGATCCAGCTTTTTTACTACCGATACCAATACCGATACCAGAGCTATGGGTTTTCTGCCGATACCGATATTGACCGATACCGGAAATGATCATGCTAAAATGTATTTAATAATTAAACTCTTTGTTCAAGTAACTGCAAAAGCAGTGGATGAACTAAAGCGCTAAACTTTCCAGATAAAAATGGATTCAACATAAATGTGCAATAATGCAACTATAAAGAGCTGCTCAATGTTCACATTAAACATTCCAACACTGTATTATACCTTATACATTTATTGAATATAAATGTACTTATATTAACTGTGTTTGAATAAAAAAACACTTACAACAAACAAAACATGCTGCATGAAAATGTAAATAAATAATAGTACCGTAGCTTTAACTGGATTTCAGATATGTATTTGGCGACGGCATGTACCTGGGTTCCAAATGGTCTATGGGGCTGCGAGCCCAAACTGATGAACTCCAACACACTTCGGGCTGTTGCTGAAAAGCTTTTTGTGACGCTGCGTCAGTGTCATCTGTGTCTCGTTGTTTTCATGTAATCTCCTTTCGATGCAAAAACTCCCCATGCTGTTTCTCGTGGTGCTTAGTCGTGTTGTTTTTTTTTTTTTTTCTAGTTTTTTTTATTTTTTTTTTTATTTTTTTTTTTTTTCGCCGCGTGAACAACGCTGATTCTTTCCTGCGCTCCACGCTGTGTTGTGTTGTTGTTGTAGAGCGCCACGAGGAAGTGACGTGTACGTGAGATCTGATAAATTACTTTTAATTAATTCATTTTATACGTATATATGTACATTATGCACAATGTATTTTAAGACATTGTGTATGTATTAAAAAATATATATAATTTAAAAAAAAAACGCAGATATCTGATCCAGTATTTTTTTTGGTATCGGCGCCGATATCGATACCAGTATCGGATCGGTGCATCCCTAGGTACAATTACAACTAAACCATGAGCTTAGTGCACTGCTGCTCATGTTCCTCATGTTTTCTGTGCTCTATTAATGAATATTTCTTTGTTTCTTTTGCCATAAACAAATAAGATGATGAAGATACATCATCCGGTGTATTTTAAGAAGCAATACATTTAAAATTAACATAACATGTAGTAGGATTCTTGAAATTAAATTCCAAATTAAATTTGTTTCATTTTTTTATTTGTATTATTATTATTATTATAATTATTATTATTATTTATTTTTGTTTGTTTAATTAACTCTTCTCATATTTAATTTGCTATAAATTTGTATTGTGTATGTGTGTTTTGTTTATATGTTTGTATTTATGTTTAGGACCCCCTCGAAAATGAGATGATTCATCTCAAGGGGTTTTCCTTAATAAACTTAAACTTAAACTTAAATCCAAGAATGTGTTTTTTTGAGCTTTTTTGCATTATTTCTCCCCGTCAGCGGTTGTCAAACTGAAGGGAATTGGCTGTTGTTTCTTAAAAGATTCATGCAAGGACTGTTCTCTGGAAACATAAGGTGATACTGGGAAGGCGGTGGGACATCCTCATTCCACTGCGCCTTGGAAGTGTGCGATGTGTAATGCAAAACCTGCCTAAGGAGTCGATAAGGCGATCAGCTCAACTAACACAGGGACGATGCTCCGTGTTCGCTGTTGTGGTTAAATATAAACCGACAGAGCGCACACACAGAGCTTTCACATTAAAGCTATCACATACCCTGATGGAGGCAGCAGAAGTCTGCTCTGAACAAATGTAGTGCAGCATTTACAGATAATATTACATGTGTAGGCAAGAAGAAACACTTTTACAATCTAATAATACCCTCAAGCAATAGCTTTCCATATCTTTAAATGCACATTTATGGAAAATCCTAGACGGCTTAAAAAAAACTAATGAACATTTTTATACAGAGGAACAAGAGAAATTTGATCATACATAAGACATTCATGAAACATTTAACAAATTGTTTTTGCCATTTGCAGCAATGAAAATGGAATATTAATTCTAATGAAAGGTTTTCTCAAGAACAAAAAACATTTCCCAATTTGTCACTTAATGTCACCATCTTAATTATTTCAGATACGTTTTGCGATAAACAACACTTTATGACACTGACAATACAGCAGGAATAATCATTTTAGACTGGTCTTTTAAAGTTGAGCTAAAGACAATAAAAACAACAGATGATTTAAGATTAGAGATAATTCAAGTTAATTTCAAAATAAATGGTTTTCTAGAATATTGATCCACCAGATATACTGCTCCAGCTCTAATTGAACAATGGTTTGATAAAGCAGTGTACATTATAGTATCCTGACAGGCACGAGGGTACAAACACATTTTCACACATCTTTGAAGTCAAGTGGGAGCTGTCCATAGGAACAAGGAGGGAGATTATTAATGTGATGATGAAAGACTGAAGGAAAACAGACACAGTCATTATATATGTTCAGGTCCGATCTGCAGCTGGGCCTCAGCAGCGAAGACAAAGTCGCTGGAACAGAATGGAATTTGAAACGTTTTAGCTAAAAATGTTTCCACGCTCAAGGTGTTTTTTGCAGAAACGTTTCAGATTTCGTTTTGTTCTCCTACGTCAATAAGGAAGACGACGCAGCAGGAAGAACTCTGAACAACAGGAATAAAGGCTTGTGATGTCATCTCCATATGTTGTGAATTCAGTGTCAAACCACTTTCATTTACACTTACATTTACATACAGTAGACCAGAGGATAAAGCCAAGATCTACTTTTCCAGCGACCAGTGAGTCATGACCCACCTCAGAATATCACGTTTGGTTTGATTCACATTGTAATATGATTCATCAGTCCCCATGTAAAAGCATACATATTTTGTCTGTACAGTTTCCAACCAAGAAGTAATGTGGTCATCATCTGTGTTTGTTTATTTGGGGAGAAAAAAAAACAAAAAAAGTCAAGGATGTATGTATTTGGATGACATTTTCAGGAAACACGTCGCAATAAACAAGTGATCACATTTTGGAGGTGATCCTAAACCTTTTCTGGATGCAGGATTTTTGAGCCGAGTGGCACAGTTTAATTCCTTGAAATGTACTTTTTAACTTGTGCTTTTGAAGTTCACATGGCAGGAACAGGGCGACAGTAGCTCAGTTGGTAGTGCACTGGTCTTTGGACCTAATGGTCGTGGGTTCGATCCCACCACGACCCGTGTCAACTGCTCCCACTGATGTTTGCTGTCGTTGTGTCCCTGGGCAAGACACTTAACCCCAATGTGCCTGAAGTCCCCGCTGAAAGACCAAGGCTGCATCTGTGTCGAAGGAGCAGCCATCTTCCCGTGGACCCACCACCTGCAGGGAGATCAGCAAGGGACTGGTGCTGTGTGAATTGGGTGGCAGTTCTGATTGCCACCCCCCTGACCCAGAAATGGAAAATAAAGGGATGTAAATGAAATGAAATGGCAGGAACAACTACATATGGTCTAACATTAATGTAGAATATTATTAATGTTAGAAGTACAGCTACAACTTGCTCAAAATGTGTGTTATTTTAGTTCATATAAGACTAGGTATTTCTTATAATGTAAACGGCAGAACTGCATGGTGCTCATATTACCAACTGTAGTTTGGTAAAAAGTGTTGTCAGATTCACTGGAAGGATGCTCCAACCTTACTTCTGTTCCAGAAGTGGTTTGCATTGTGCACATGGACCAAAATGCTACTTTACTTTGAATGTAAAAAGTTGATTTTGCCTTCTTATTTTTAATGCTTAGAAGGTTCTTTTGATAAGACAAAAATGTAAAAAAGCTAATAGTATTAAAGCTTTACATTTTGTCTTGTTAAACTTTACTTTATCACTATATTTCACAATTTCTAAGATAATTGACAACACTCATTCTCCGTATTAAAATCACCAACAATGTATCCGCACCAATGCATACAAATGTTGTTTTGCAGAGCCCACAGTGTGATAGCCTGCCTCATGTGCTGGGCCTCCTCTGCGTCCCTCCCGCCCCCCTCCTGCCAGCGTAAGTGGGATGTCCCAGGTGTGTCTGCAGCTGGCCTTGCTCACGCTCTGCAGCTTCACCAAGGTTTGACTCTCTGACTCACAAACCAATCCTCCGTAAACCCAATGTCTTTGAGGCTCTGCTGTGTTTGATGTTTTCCCTGTAAGGTCTTTTCCACCAACTCCTTCAAGCTCGTGCAGGAGCAGTGGAGCAGCTACAAGGACCAATGTCTGGACTTCATCAACACCACGCCCCCAGCCCCCCCAGGTATCCAGCTCTAAATGAAACTGCCTTTGGCCATGTCCACACGTAGACGGGTATTTTTAAAACCGAATATTTCCCCCCTCCGTTTATAAAATAATTTGCTTCCACACATAACCGAACATCTGCGTTTTCAATCACATCCATAATATTCCAAACATGTGCGTCCTCCAACGCCTGCATTGGGACAAAAACACAGAAGTGGGCGGAGCTTTGATGCCAACAACGGTACTTCTGTAGCGGCACTTTTACAGTCATAGAAGAAACTCAGGGTAAAGACATACAGTGCCTTGCGAAAGTATTCGGCTCCCTTGAACCTTTCAACATTTCGCCGCATTGGATAATTTAAACTTTTTTAACAAATAAAAAACTGAAAAGTGGGACGTGCAATATTATTCGGCCCCCTTGCGCTAATACTTTGTAGCGCCACCTTTTGCTGCAATTACAGCTGCAAGTCGCTTGGGGTATGTCTCTATCAGTTTTGCACATCGAGAGACTGGAATTCTTGCCCATTCTTGCTTGCAAAACAGCTCGAGCTGAGTGAGGTTGGATGGAGAGCGTTTGTGAACAGCAGTCTTCAGCTCTTTCCACAGATTCTCGATTGGATTCAGGTCTGGACTTTGACTTGGCCATTCTAACACCTGGATACGTCTATTTGTGAACCATTCCATTGTAGATTTGGCTTTATGTTTTGGATCATTGTCCTGTTGGAAGATAAATCTCCGTCCCAGTCTCAGGTCTTTTGCAGACTCTAACAGGTTTTCTTCCAGAATAGTCCTGTATTTGGCTCCATCCATCTTCCCATCAATTCTAGCCATCTTCCCTGTCCCTGCTGAAGAAAATCAGGCCCAAACCATGATGCTGCCACCACCATGTTTGACAGTGGGGATGGTGTGTTCAGGGTGATGAGCTGTGTTGCTTTTACGCCAAACATATTGTTTTGCATTCGATTTTGGTTTCATCTGACCAGAGCACCTTCTTCCACATGTTTGGTGAGTCTCCCAGGTGGCTTGTGGCAAACTTTAAACAAGACTTTTTATGGATATCTTTGAGAAATGGCTTTCTTCTTGCCACTCTTCCATAAAGGCCAGATTTGTGCAGTGCACGACTGATTGGTGTCCTATGGACAGACTCTCCCACCTCAGCTGTAGTTATCTGCAGTTCATCCAGAGTGATCATGGGCCTCTTGGCTGATTCTCTGATCAGTCTTCTCCTTGTTTGAGATGAAAGTTTGGAGGGACGGCCGGGTCTTGGTAGATTTGCAGTGGTCTGATACTCCTTCCATTTCAATATAATTGCTTGCACAGTGCTCCTTGAGATGTTTAAAGCTTGGGAAATCTTTTTGTATCCAAATCCGGTGTAACGCCGAGATACACTGTCTTGAAGAGATGCACTGCCTCAGCTGTTTATGATGTAATGCAAACCTGCGCCTGCACGTCTCACGGCAACCGAAGCATACCAAGATGGCGGACCGTGAATTGCTTTAAAAGTTGAAATACGAACGAATTAAGACACGAATGTCACTTTTAATGCAATTTGAGGCGAGATGTTGATGGTTCCGTTTTGTCACATGTGGGTTTTAAGAGTCAAAGTTTTGTGCAAAGTTTAGTTTAAGCAGTCAACTGCGCCTGTGAAACCACAAAGCTAATGTTTTCATAGCAGTCCACGGCTGCTGACGTAGGCTGATGACGCGTCCTGTGGCCACTCTACACTCTTACACTGGTCTGTCGGGTTGATAATGGAAATAATAAATTTCATTCAATACATGTATCGTACTGTATTTAATATGATTAACAATAGTGTGTTCAAACAAAATATTTAATTAGATTGATTTTTTTCCCCATTTTCCATTATCAACCCGACAGACCAGTGTAAGAGTGTAGAGTGGCCACAGGACGCGTCATCAGCCCACGTCAGCAGCCGCGGACTGCTATGAAAACATTAGCTTTGTGGTTTCACAGGCGCAGTTGACTGCTTAAACTAAACTTTGCACGAAACATTGACTCTTAAAACCCACATGTGACAAAACGGGACCATCAACATCTCGCCTCAAATTGCATTAAAAGTGACATTCGTGTCTTAATTCGTTCGTATTTCAACTTTTAGCAAGTTAATGCTTGGTATGCTTCGGCTGCCGTGAGACGCGCATGCGCAGGTTTGCATTACATCATAAACAGCTGAGGCAGTGCATCTCTTCAAGACAGTGTATCTCGGCGTTACACCGGCTTTAAACTTCTCCACAACAGTATCTCGGACCTGCCTGGTGTGTTCCTTTGTCTTCATGGTTCTCTCTGCGCTTTAAACAGAACCCTGAGACTATCAAAGAGCAGGTGCATATATACGGAGACTTGATTACACACAGGGTCATTCTATTTATCATCATCAGTCTTTTAGGACAACATTGGATCATTCAAAAATCCTCACTGAACTTCTGGAGTTTGCTGCACTGAAAGTAAAGGGGCCGAATAATATTGCATGCCCCACTTTTCAGTTTTTTATTTGTTAAAAAAGTTTAAATTATCCAATACATTTTGTTCCACTTCACGATTGTGTCCCACTTGTTGTTGATTCATGCCAAAAAATTAAAATTGTATATCTTTATGGTGGAAATGTTGAAAGGTTCAAGGGAGCCGAATACTTGAGCGTGAGTCCCCGTGATCACGTTGCTGCTCTCTGATGTGGAACGAACCGCTCGCAGCAGCGAACAGTTTTTAAAGCAGTAAGATCCATGCTTCCTCAGTGATCAGAGGTAGCATTTGTTGTTGTTTTGGGGGCATACTGTGATGTGCGAAAACGCAAAACTCTGTTTATCTTTGTCTACACCAACTGCATAAACAGAGTTTTCAAAAATCTTTTCTTTGCCCAGAGTTTTTTTATATATTCGTTTATGATGCGTTGGCATGTGAATGACAGGTGCCAACAAAGAAAAATATCTCCGGTTTAGCAGATACCCATCAACGTGTGGACAGGGCCTTTAGCTCTGTTTGTAAGAAAGAGATTTGTCCAAGGCTTTCGGGGCTGGACAATGATTCGATAAACTCTCAGATTTGGGGCTTCAATAATGTGTGAACAACAGGACTCTAAACGTGTATTAGACCTTTATCTGTACAATATTCAGTTTGGGAGGATTCAAAGTCACATTTCAATTGTTTTCATCCAGAAGAGGAATTCAATTTTTTATTCTTGCCATATCGCCATGTTTAAAGGCTAGAATTTGACTTTCGTCCTATTGCTGAGTGGGGTAATGGCCTCTGCGTTGCAATCCCATTACTACTTTTCACCAAATTAATGATGTTGTACAATCTCTCGAGGCCAACTTCTAACAATGATTGCAGGTTAATTCTGTTGAAAGACAAGTATAGTGAGCTATAGTTACCTTGCAGAGCTGTGAGATCTGTCACCCTCCAGTGACATGTTATTTATCAGCTGATAATGAGTAGGCGTGGTCAGTCTGATTACTCTGACTTGTCGGTTAAACAGACCACACCCCCTCTGGCCTGGTGGTCTCTGGAGGAAGGTTGTCTAGTTCAACAAGGCACTACACCTCACTACAATTATAGCTTTCAAAAGAACCATAAACTAATAATTAATAAAAGAACTGTAAACATTATGAAACACGTCCTAACATTAAAGAATTTGTGAGTCTGTCACTGCAGGCGGTCACAGAGAATACAAGTTAGACTATTTGAAGTGTACTTTACATGTGATTGTACAGTGTTCTGATCTCTGGTCTCTCTGTATTTCAGGGCTTGTTTGTAATCGCACTTTCGACCAGTACGCCTGCTGGCCCGATGGAACCCCTGGATCCACAGTCAATGTGTCCTGTCCGTGGTTTCTGCCCTGGTACCATAAGGGTCAGTGCTCCATTGATTTGGACTCTCTGTCTATTTTAGTGGCAGGTGTTATTCAAGAGGCAGTCTCTCTATGGTATTCTTCAATGTACATTCACAATATCATACTGATTCATGCACATAAGAGCTGAAACAAACAAATTAAGATATTCCATTGTGACAACTCTCCTCAGTGGACATAATGGACAAGTGGACATAATGAGCACTTAACCTTGATAAAACACCTCAAACAATTTAAATGTAATGAAAAAGTTATTATGGCTTACCGATATTAAAAATTCCTGTTTATTTGACTCCATCCATCCATCCATCCATCCATTTTCTACCCTTTAATCCATTTCTGGGTCAGGGGGGTGGCAATCAGAGATGACACCCAAGTCTCATAGCACCAGCCCCTCACTGACCCTCTGCAGGTGGTGAGTCTACAGGAGGACGGCTGCTCTCTGAGTGTGAGCATAGCCTTGATCTTTCAGTGGGGGCTTTGGGCAAAGTGGGGTTAAGTGTCTTGCCCAAGGACACAACGACAGCAGTCATCAGTGGGAGTCGGTGGAGAAGGTGGAGAGGTGGGAATTGAACCCACGACCTTCTGGCCTTAAGGCCAATGCTCTACCAACTGAGCTACTGTCGCCCACTTGTTTTTTTGACTCAAAAATCATAAAAAGTCAAAGTTGATTTTTGAATGGTCTTTTACCTCCTAAATTATTTAAGTCATTACAATTTTAAATGGACAAAAAACAAGTGCTTCTGTTGTCCCAGAATAATAGACGGATTAAAAACATGAAAATCAAATCACACTGATCTGCATTTTGAAGAGAAGAGTTCACGGTTCAGATATTACATGAACTTGACATCAGTGCTGAAAGCTCAAATGATTTGCATGAGTTTTCTCTTGCGTTACTTTTCCAACCCTTTGCTATGGTAACACGGCTTCTCGTCCTTCAGTGTGAAAGAATTTGATCAGCCCTGGAGTCAAGAAGGATTTTTAGACACCATTCTTTTTCTATTTGTGCCCTCATTATGCCCTTTTGCCCTATTATTCCCCAGTTCCTATTAGTCAGAGGAACCCCCTGTTCCCTTTGGTTGTGTTCACACTGTGAGAATGGCAGAAACTGTACTTAATATGAGCATTCCTGAACATTTACAATTGTACTATAGTTTGAGGTTATAGCAACAGTATTTCTCAAAGTCGCTGCATAGACTGTTCCTGGCTGGGCACTTTTAGTATAGGGCGAGGAGGTCGGTCACACAGGAGGATAGATAGATAGATAGATAGATACTTTGTTGATCTCCGTAGGAGAAATTCAGGTGTCCAGTAGCAGCAAAAATAAAAAATAAAATTGATAATTCTAAAAAGCTAACAATAGTAATAATCAGCAACAGCCCTTCAGGTCACAGCAGCAGAGGTGGAGTAGCTGCCAGGTGGAGCAGGACAGGTCACAAGGTGGAGTCGCCGCTTTGTTTGGACCTTTTTCTCTGCTCTAATCCAAAATATAATGCTTCATTAGCATTTTTCAAAAAGTTAGTATTCCTTCAGTGGATGTTCACCTGATCCGCTTGGTTCGGACCATGAATCCTCTCTGCTCTGGTGCGGACCAGTGTACAACCATGAGCAGCAACATCTCCGGGGGCTTATATGAAAGGAAACACAAGCGGAGAATACGAAAGTGCAGGGAGAGACGTGAAAATGCCCGTCACAACGGAAGACGTATCGTGACGCACAATATCAAGTCCCCACCACCTGCCACACTGACCCCCCTCATCTGGGCTTTAGAAGCGTACTCAGGCACACCTCTCTCAACCGTGCCCAAGCCCACTTGCCTCGGTCAGATACAGTAGCACCTAAAACCCAGATCAAATCGCAAAGTGGGCTCTTAAACCGGGCTTTAGAGTGCGTATGTGACCGCAGCCTAACTCAACTGGGACATAGTCCCTCCAATCACTATGTCTCTCGGCTGGCCTGGCAATGCCTTGGGATTAGGGCTGGGATAAACGATTATTTTTTAAACGATTAATCTAGCGATTATTTTTTCGATGCATCGATTAATCTAACGATTATTTTTTTCGCTTCGATTCGATTTCGCTTCGATTTGATTCTCGATTATCTCCCCATTAATTGACTAATATTGATGTATACATGTTGATTTAAATATTTTAATGATAAAAACATGAATTCCTTCACAAAAAATATGTATTGCTTGCACTTAAAAAATAAGACATTCTTAGAGGTAGCATAAAACCTTAAAGCCTTGAAAACACAGCTTACTGAAAAAAGTGCATCTTATCATTCTTGAAACAAACATTTGATGCTTAGCATTCAATAAAAATATGAAAAAGTTCAGCCAAATACTTGTGTAGAGCAACTAAAAGAAAACAGTAACAACACTTGAAGGCTTTAAGCTAAACAAAGAGTGCTTTTCCAGCAAAAACAGTGGGAGCCATCAGCCTGTCATGGCTACATAAGAGTGTAGAGTGGCCACAGGACGCGTCATCAGCCTACGTCAGCAGCCGCGGACTGCTATGAAAACATTAGCTTTGTGGTTTCACAGGCGCAGTTGACTGCTTAAACTAAACTTTGCACGAAACTTTGACTCTTAAAACCCACATGTGACAAAACGGAACCATCAACATATCGCCTCAAATTGCATTAAAAGTGACATTCGTGTCTGAATTCGTTGGTATTTTAACTTTTAAAGAAATTCACGGTCCGCCATCTTGGTTTGCTTCGGCTGCCGTGAGACGCGCATGCGCAGGTTTGCATTACATGATAAACAGCTGAGGCTGTGCATCTCTTCAAGGCAGTGTATCTCAGCGTTACACCGGCTTGCACTTCTCTAACACGGCACTTGCATTGCTACCCGCTCGCCGCCATCTTTGTTTTGTGTGTGACGCACCGACGCGCATATTATACGTCGGTGTATTTTTTGCGTCGACGTCACCGATTACGTCGACGCGTTGTCCCAGCCCTACTTGGGATTCCCCAGGAGCTGAAAGAAGTGTGTGTGGATAGAGAAGTCTAGGCCTTCCGGGAATTTTTGACAATGGAATTAAGCCAAAATCATAAACACTTTAGGAAACAGAGACTTGAAATGAGTCTGGATCATATAGTTTTCTTTATTTATATGTCTTGTTTTCTGTACATGGCTCACTTATTGACTTACTTTCAAAAATAAAAGCGGGTGGTGTCTTTCCTAACATTTACTTTAGGATTGTAGTTTTATTTGTAGTTATTATTATATACAAACTTTACTTTCCCTGTAAGCCTTAATGTGTTTGTGTACAGTTCAAACAGGCCAGGTGTACCGGAGCTGCAGTGAGGATGGCCAGTGGTCCAAGAAGAACACGTCTGAATGTGAAGATGACCCAGAGGGGGTGAGTCTGACAAGAAGCAATTGATCAAGATTTTATCACTGCTGTTAGTGCAGTTGTTTGCAGGTTTTAGCTTTTGTTGATTCATTTAATTTGAGTGGAAAAAGACCATCTTCTCCTTTATGAAGTGTAAGTGACTTTGTCCTCTGCAGCAGGACTACGGCCGCATCCTAAACCAGTTATGGATCATGTACACAGTGGGCTACTCTCTGTCTCTGGGGGCGCTGCTGCTGGCACTGGCCATCCTCATCATATTCAGGTATGAAAAAGGCAAGGCAAGGCAAGTTTATTTGGTTAGCACTATTCAAACACAAGGCCACTCAAAGCGCTGAACAAAACAAGATAACATTGAAATTCACAAACAATCACAGAACATTAAAGTGATAGTCTGGAACTCTAAATTAATTTTAATAATTTTATTAAATTAACCTCCTGACCATGATATAAAAAAGTCATTTTATGAATTCTAATATTACGGGTAAGTCCCGCCTTCCCTTCTCTTAGCTATAGTTCAAAATCCACAATGCCGTCCACGTTAACCAATCGAGTCATGCCAAGGGCTGTCAATCATCGGCGCTGATGCTCGTAGCTGCTCATGCTCAGTTCTCAGTGCTCAGAGCCTCCGAATCAAGCCTTTATAGGCTCTGGAACTACATGAAATCTGAACAAAGATTTCTGAACATCTGCGCTGAGTTACTTATGTATATACTGAACCTATATCCATAATCAGATCCTCTGCAGATGTGTCCTATTATGTGCAGTTCATGATAATAGCTACTTCCGGTTTTACCGCGAAGTAGGTAAAGCATTCAAACATTATTTTTGTCATGAAATTGTTAACAGATAATTCTGAAAACCTCCGTGCATGTGTATTAATAATGTATATGTATAATGTGTTCTCAGATTAACATTTAAATGTGTGACGGAAACGTAGGTGTAGACCAATCAGATAGAAAGGAGGAGGAGCTTGGGTCGTTTTTTTCAAATCATGTACCTCTCTTTCTTTTTTCTGACAAACTCCAGACAATCTAAGGTTGTCAGAGAAGAGGCCTGTCTCACCTTTTCAGGAAGATTGTTCAAAATTTTAGCTGCATGAATCTGAAATGCAGCCTTCCCATGTTTAGTTCTGTTTAGTAAGTGAGTGAGTAAGTAAGTGCGTAATTTTTATGTATACAGCGCTTTACAATTGGGGGCATACAGTACGTCTCCCACTCCACACAGAGATGGACATCTACAATAGTAGAGGCTTCGTTTTGCCAGAATCTCGCCTCTGGCCTCACCGTGTGGAGAGAATGGAAAATATCAGTACTTCAAAAACCTTGTGAAGCACTGTAGTGGGAGATTGGTCTCTGAAATTTGCTATATAAATAAACATCACTTACTTACGAACTTACACTTGAACATCAAAATAAAAAAACATTATGTTATTATTTGAGGGGGATTCATTGTGAATGTTATAAACTCTCAATGGTTAAAACATTCAATTTATTTTTTTACATCAAGGTAGGGATGTAAAAAACTATGAATTTTCATGACCGACCACCGAGCCTCATTAACCGGTTGAAACCGGTTAACCGCGTAGTTTAAAATAGTCCACGTTCTTTGAAATAACAGCCATTTCGAGCCGCGTACTTTTCATAAGTGCAGCTCTGCGATCAGAGGCGAGACAGCGGCACCAAAACCCACAACAGCTCCGGCACCTTTGCGCACAGAGAACTGCTTTTTTAATCTTCCCATTCTGCTGTGCTGCGGGTTAATACCAAAACTTTCTAGCAGCAAACGACGGCTCGTTCACATGGTCAGAGCAGCGAGTGACGAGCCGCGTCTCACAGGTCTTCACAAAAGTTTAAATACAAGTGATGTGTGTGGAGCTGATCCCGAGGACCATAAACACAAACATGTTCCATGTGGTTTGACTGGAGCCGCGTATTTGCGCGAATCCTTTGGGCTCCGTGACACAGAGGAGCGCGACAGACCGGTATGTGTGTGTGTATGTATGTGTGTGTGTGTGTATGTATATGTGTGTGTGTGTAAATGTAAGCTCCAATGTAGTTCTGACCCGCGCCAGTGTGCAACTTTGACGGTAACAGAGGGGAGAGATGATGCGTGTGGATGTTACGTATGGAGAGGGGGAAAGTGTGTGTGTGTGTGTGTGCGCGCGCGTGCGTGTGTGCATATGTGGCTCGTGCGGCGTGAGAGTCGTCCCGGAGTTTATAATACATGGGCGCACACAGCTAGATACAGACCCGCTCGTCACACCGTGCAAATAGGGCTTAAAATAGCGTTATTAAGAGACCTCCCCTCTCCCCTTTTTCTCTTTTTTAACCGACAGCTTTGACCGGTTAACGCTGTGACGGTCAACCACCGGTTAACCGGTCGCCGATTTACATCCCTACATCAAGGGTCCACTTTGCTTTCAATTTATTTAATCATTGTATTTGGCAGGAGCAGTGCACTCTGGGATTGTGTCACAGCAGATGACATGTTTTATTGTTGGTACACGGCATAAACGACACGACCAATTTTCAAAGCATTCACATGGTTTTATATTTATAGAAAAGTTCGCTTTAATTTTCAGATAACCAAAACATCAGGTGGAAAAGAACTGACTTCTGTCGCATCTATTGTATAATAACCAGCTCAGTTTTAACAATATTGCCCAAAAAAGTCTTATAAAGGTCCATATTAGTTACAAAATTATTACTTTTGATACCCGGGAGTGCTCGTAATGTTCTGAAGCACTTTCATGTGCCAATCCAGGTGCAAAATTGTATGTATAATCTGTGATATATTACAACTACATATTTCTTGCATGAGAATATACATTGTTTTATACTTGCTTCTTTATTATTCTAAAGTTGGAGAATGTATTTATTATTTGTAGTATATTGTGAAAAACAAAGGAAGGTTGCTCAGCCAGCATCTGAACTTCAGTTAGCAGGTTTTCCGATGTTTTCTTATTAATCCAAATAACTTTCTCAAGGAAATGAAAGCTCAGCCGTGAGTTGGAGATTATAACCTGTAAGAGTGATTACCCCTAACCCCTGATCCCTAACATATCTAATGTCTGCTAAGATTGCTGAGGTTGGGTACAGGTCTAACGATCCTACTGGGTCTAACGATCCTAACTCATTGGCATGTCACTGACCTTATCTTTTGTTTGGGCGTTGTTTTTAGGAGGTCGTCATACTGTAGATGCGAATCTTAACCTGCCTCCTCTGTTCACCGTCTCAAACCAATTTTTGTCTCGAACCAGAATTTTAGCCTCCGTGTCATTCACGGTGTGGTTGGTGGCCTTGAGATGGAGATGTCGCCGATTGTGGCCCACTCGAATTTTCTCTACGATGCTGGCAAAGTCGTTTTTGTAGAGTTTGTTTTTCTCAAAAAATTGTGCACCTCAAAGACAAAACACCCAGACACAAACAGAGCAATGTGGTGTATTCAATTAAATGTAGTGAGGATGAGAGCACAGACCACTATATTGGAGAAACAAAAACTTTATCAGCATTGTATAGAAAATTCGAGTGGGCCACAATCGGCGACATCTCCATCTTAAAGCCACCAACCACACCGTGAATGACACAGAGGTTACAATTCTGGTTCGAGACAAAATTTGGTTTGAGAGAGGAGTGAAAGAAGCCATTTTTGTGAGTAAGCGCAAATCATCCTCAATAATTGTTTTTGCCCCACATCAATGATGACGTCCTAAAAACAACGGCCAAAAAAAAAAATACAGCTGACAATAGGTTGGTTACATGATAATGAGGTAGGATTGATAGCCCGAGCAAGATCGTTAGACCTGCACTCAACCACATCTTAACTAATGAGTTAGTCTCAGGATCAAGGGTGTCTAACCACACTCACAGGTTGCAAACCTCAAACTCACGGTTGAGCTTTCATTTCCTTGAGAAAGTTCTTTGGATTAAGAACGAAACGTCAGATAACCTGCTAAGTGTAGTACAGATGATGGGTGAGCAACTTTGCTTTGTTTTAAATAATCCCTGTACGACTGAGATTTTACACAAACATAGTTTATTGTAGTGCTAACTGTCTGCTGCAAAACGTATTTCTAAGGGTGCTTTCACACCTGCACCATTTAGTTCAACTAAAATGGACTGGAGTCTGGAACACCTGCAAGTACGGTTCGTTTGAGCAGGTGTGAAAGTGGACCAGTTAAATTTGGTCCGGATTAAAGAACCGCACCGAGACCACCTTATGGAGCTGGTCTCGGTGCGGTTCCATGTGGACTTCAGCGCGGTTCGGTGCTGGTGAGAACACAGACCTGCCTCGATATGGCCTTGTTTTTATATGATAGAATAGTCCATATTTGGTATTGCAATAAACAATAGTGTATAACTGATGATTCTCCGTTTATCCCCCGTCTATTTGCCTTAGTTCGCCTTTGTTTTTTGCGTGGCAAAAAGGCCAACAGTTCCCTTAATCCTACAAGATGAGAGGAACGTAATCTTACCGGAGAGAATTCCGAAAACGTCTCCGGAAAAGAAGTTGGTTCATGTTTAGCAGCTTAGCTCTTTTTTGGAGACAGTGTTTTGCAACACGTCTTCTCTGCTCCAAAAACAGCCGCAGAGTGTTCTCGCGCTGAATCCGCGTTAAATACTGGAACAACTGCAGTATTTGTGCTGCACAAAGCAACAATGATCAAAAAATAGCCACAAAAACAGAGTAGCACAGTTCCTTGTTAAGGATTTGACAAGTTTGTTTTCTTCCGGGATTTTACCCTCTTCACATCCTGCGCCAATCAGCTTTCACTTACGTCATCCAATACACAGTATTTTGTGAACAGCGCCACCACATGGGTGGCAGAATATGTTACATCCTCAGTGGTTGGTTCATTTGCAAAACACTGGTGTGAATGAGAACCAAACTAGTTGAGAACTGCAACATTGTAACAACTTTAGGGCCCAATCGAACCACTTTATAGGACCAACAATTGTGAAAGCACCCTCAATGAGACAATTCTGCAACAGCAAAAAGGCAGTTGTGCTGTTTTATTTATGGAGCACACAGAACACAAAACTTCTGATGATGGAATGACTAACTTAGTGCTGGTTTTTTGTGTAACTGTTAAAAATTAAAGGAAACACTCTCACAACCAGCGCTGTAACAATCATTCCACAAATGCCACTTGTTTCAGAGTTCAAATTCTGTTTGAGGAGCATCTGATATCACTTAAACTGTGCTGGAGAATCAGGAGAGACTGATTTAGTCTAATCTACATTTGCATTGTTACAACTCAGGAGTAGCAACAATGAGGGGAGACCACACAAGTATCGACGTTTTTAAAGTATTTATTTAACAAAAATGATATGAAGATGTATCAGTGGTGTGTGCAGTGTAGTCTGTATGTGAGGTGAATCAGTATGTGGATAAATCAACTAAACTAAACAAAGGTAAAAGTGGAGCAGCCGGTGGTCTGGGCAGCAGAGAGGGCAGACACTCTGCCAGATGTGCTCCATTTATGCTGAGGAGGGCAGGTGGAGCCTGGGCCCAGCGACGCCCCCAACCTCCTGCCCTGACCGGTTAAACAGCAGTGAGCAGTCAAAATAAGAGGGCCCACTTGGGCCATTACAGCATTTTAAGATTAATATTCCCTTTTATCACAGACTCTGCAGCAGGTGGCATTTCAATTCATTTCAATGTATTTTGGCATAGCCCTAAATCACAAACAGAAGTCATCTCAGAGGACTTTACAAATTTGTTGATTTTCCAACAACAGATCAGAGAATCAACCAGTTCATAAACAGGAAAGGTAATGATGACAAAAGCATGGGAGCCATTGGTCCGAAAGGAGCAGGATGACCAATGTGCGACAATGTTTTGAAATATGCATAAATGTCCCTTAAAACACTGTGATAAAGCCTTTTCAAAAAAGCGTAAATCATTTGTAAGATCCGTACTGTCACATTGAACATTGTGCCAAGTTAGTTAATATCACATCCAACCAATATCAGTCTAATTGTTATTTGAAAGCTCTAACAGACCTGAAGGAGTTTAAAATGAAAAGTCAAACAATGGCTCAAAAGGAACCAAACTTTTGAGCACAAAGACTCTAATCATCTATTGCACATTATCTGTACTATGTAATCTGTGGGGTTATTTTCTTTTGTTTGTTCTTTAGTATTATCTATTTACTTATTTTCTAATATAATGATAAATGTACATGTAAATGTGATGTATTTCTATGTCTTAGGGACCAGGTCTGCAAACTAACTGTAAGCTATACGGCCTAAGAACATAGCATCGGTTCCTTTAACAATGCTTTTTGTTCTGCCCCTAACAAATAAACACATAAAAAATATATCATTGTTTTTAATGTAATCGTTTTTGCCTCACACATGTATCATGGAGCTTCATTACACTCTGAGGTTAAAGGACACTCCACTTTGTGTCTGTGCAGGAAGCTCCACTGTATGAGAAACAACATCCACATGAACCTGTTCGCCTCCTTCATCCTCAGAGCGGTGTCCATCCTGGTGAAAGACGCTCTGCTGAGCCTCACCCTCGACCCCCGCAGCACCAGCAGCACACGGCCACGCTCCTGGGCCAATATACCGGTGATCCACTAATTGTAATCTCATATTAGACCAGTTGGATTCACACAAATTCATCTGCTGATTTGACTAATGATGAGGTACACTATGAGGGTCTAGAGACATAAAAGCAGTGGCTCTACTCCAAGCTCCAACCTTGTGACTGAGCTCCTCACACTATCTCTGAGGAGCCACTCTGCCGAAAAAGCCCATTTTGACTGCTTGTATTCACGTTATCGTCCTTTCGGTCATTACCCAAAGCTCATGGTCATAGGTGAGGGAGGGAATCAAGAGCTTAGCTCCCTCTTCACCACATCAGGCTGATACAGTAGAAAGCTCAGTCCAATCTTCACCAGAACTCAGCAATTCTAATTTTGAATGGAGAAAAATGGGCAGGAATAGGTGGTAGATGATACAGAACAGGAAGTTCCAATCTAAATAAAACATCCAGGAAGTAGACACTAGTGCATTTACAAAGCGCTTGTGAAAGCAAGCTCCGCCTAATTCAATTTAGTTAAATTGATAAAGACACATGTAAACTGTGTGCACCTGATTCTAATGCGGGTGAGCTGCATGTAAACACATCTATCGGGCAAAGATGCATTTGGGGATAAGGGAAAGGTAAACAGGCAAAAGCCAAACTTTTTTGATAGAAATCAATGTAGAGGGGACTCATTTTGCTCAAGATCAATCAAAACTTGTCAGATTTGAAAATCATATAGAATTGAGCACAGTTTTTGAACATACTCTTATGGTTTGTAAATGCACTCACTGTTAGATCACAGTTATTTTGTATATTGTGTAAATTAACCCTTTTGCAGCTGAAGCCAATATCTGTATAGCTCTGTGTGTGCAGAACAGCATCAATTTGATTACTAATGTCAGGACAGATATTCTGACTGTCAAGCATTTGAGACAATGTGTTGGTTGTTGGATAACATGAAGACCTCGGTGCGTGTGAGTAATGAAGTACCATGTGAAGATGTCTGTCGTGTGTTGTGTGTCAGGCGGTGATGTGGTGCCGAGGAGCCATGGTTATGATGCAGTACAGCGTCATGGCCAATAACTACTGGCTTCTGGTGGAGGGAATCTACCTGCACAGTCTGCTGGTCATCACTGTGTTCAGTGAGAGGAAGTACTTCTACAGCTATCTGGCCATCGGCTGGGGTGAGAGCAGCATTAGTCACTTCTGAAGGACCACTCTGTGTTCCCAAAGGAATCTCTGTGATCTTAACTGAACATGAATGATCCACTTTGGGTTCCTTTGTGTGAATTTACCATCAAACCCAACAATGTGAATCTAATCATCTTTCACAGTTAGGCAAAAATTGTCCTTTTACAAGAGAGTGAAAATATATCCAATCCAATCCACTTTATCTATATAGCACATTTCATAAACACTGTTTCCAAAGTTCTGCACAATAAAAGACTAGTTAAAACAAATCCATAGTAAAACAGTAAACTCATAAAAATCAAAATAGGATAAACCTGTATATATCTATAAATTATACACACATATGGGAAAAAATGTATACATATAAACATAACAGTTAAAGAAAAGTATTCAGAGCCCAAAATTTGCATTTCACTAAAATGTGCATTAGCAGTTTCTTTATGTGTGCACCAAGATAAAAACAACTCCTTACTGTCATATCATTTTATTTACTGTACATTTTGCTATAACTTTATTTACTTACATAAATGTGTGGCTTTTATAACTTGTGTGTTCATTGTTTGTCACTGAAGGACTCAAAAACAGTTGAAAGAGATTAATGAAGACATTCAAAGCTTTCCTTGAGCTCCCCTTGAATGCTTTGTACATATTTTTCAAGAATGTGTCCCTTGATAGTACAAAACTAATCATTTACAGAGTTATAGCAGAAATGTCCATCTCTAGTTTCCTGTAAAACAACAACAAAACACAATCTGTAAAAGCCAGAGGCCAAACAGCAGCAGTTTGAGTATTATTAACTTAGTCCACTCTGTCCGCAGGTGCACCTCTCATCTTTGTGTCTCCGTGGATCACCGTCAAGTACCTTTATGAGAATGAGGAGTAAGTTTATCTATTTATAATACATTCTTAATTATTCTAATAGTTTAATGACTCACCAAAGTGTTAATACCTTTTGTCGCGAAACTATCTAAAGAATATACATTATTATCACAATAGTCAAAAGGTACAAAAGGAACCATGGTTATTATCCTTTGTACTTGTATCTTTTATCACACACCCACCCAAGTCTTTATGCTTATAGCAAATATCGACAGTGCCAGCTGAACCCAAATACAGTTCATGGACAAAATGTATTTACTACTATTTTTGGTAATTTTCTTTCATTAAAACCTCTTGTTTGCTTGTGCGACTCAAGTTTTGTACTTTGATATTATTATTATTTTTATTATTATTACCTTGCATATTATTATTATCTTTCATTCAGACACAGAAAGACTCCATACAACACAAAAACAAAACAAAAACACAGACACACAAATATGCAATAATATTATCTGACTTGGATCGTACGAGCGCTCTGATTGGCTGATTTGCGGTCTGATATTTTCCCATCTCGGACCATTACCATGACAATTGCCCTTGTAAAAAAGAAATAATGAGCAACGACTGGGAGCATTCTCCAGTGAATTCTATTATCCGGACGAGTTCGAAGAGCCAGAGGAAGTAATAACAGCAAATAACGACGAAAACACAACTCCTAACAGTCAAGAAGAGATTGACAACTTTGTTACAGACCAGAAAGGTAAAAACACGATTAGGAAAACCAAGTTGGAGATCAATATTCGCATAAATTAAAAATAGGCCTATAATAAAACATTTATTAACTAGGAAACTATCAGACCTTGGCCGCAGTCTGATATTTCTCTGTACAGACCTCGCGCTTGTTTAATAAGCCTTTAATATTATATTTGTAAATCAAGATACACTGTATGACCAATAATACCTGACCAATCGGATTGGTTCAGCTAGCAAAGCTCCCCTGTTTATTTGCTTTTTGGTTACTATGAGGTTGCTATGAGAGAAGCAACCTCTTTTGGTTTCTTCAGGAAAACTCTATGGGTGACATCACTTCGGTCAGTCCACAGTCTATGGTTTATAGGTATTGTGTGTGTGTGCAGGTGCTGGGAGAGGAACACCAACATGGGATATTGGTGGATCATCCGCTCTCCTATTCTTTTTGCATGCTTGGTAAGTTTGTGCTTTTCTTTGTTTCTGCTGCTCTGAGACTTCTCCAGAGAGGCCAAAATGGTTTATTCATTTTCATATATATTGGATAAACACACAAATATTTCAACTGACACATTGATGAAGCGCAGAGCCAAGTCAGAGAACATTTGTACCAAACACTATATGATCTACTGTGTGTGTGTGTGACGAGGGGAATGTATGGATCTGGACAGTGAGTTTGCTTGTGTGCTGCTAAGTTTCCATGCAGAGGCAACGGGCGTCCATCTTTTAACACTTGAACTTCCAAAGCAGTCAATTTGATGGCTTTTAGTTTTGGAAGTGTAAGTTTGTTGCGTATGTACCATTTTGGTCTAAGTCACATTTGAAAAAGAAGGAGGACTCAATATGCAGGAATGTATTATAATGAGTTAATGAAGACGATAAAATAAATGTCAAAGGTAAAAACGGACTCAAAATACAAACGGCGAGGAACACAGGCAAACAAAGACAATGGCCGAGCAACAAGGGGAGAGGAGCACGGGTACATATAGACAGAGGCCCTGTCCCAATACCCACACTGCACCCTACACTCCTCTACAAAGTGTGCATTAGTTTGAAGTGCGCAGGTTACAAGCGTGCAAAAAAGGCGGAATTGGGACAGTGCAGGTTACGTCATCGACTAGTTAAAAGATGTTCATTTTCAGACCTAAACTTTATAAAAATTAAAGGTAATTTTGTCTGACCCTGTGGGAAACAAAATGAGTTGCTCCACACACACATACATGTACTGTATATTGGTTATTCGTAGTTGGAGATAGCTGTGTAATTTTAAGTTAAATGTGTGTAACTAACTGTTATCTGGTCAGTTTGTATACATCCTAAGTTCATTGTACTAAGTGTAAAGTTTAAATTGAATGTTATATGAACGCTTGCTTTAAAAAGTTATGAAATTTTGTTACCATAAAATGTCCGTAATTCTTCATCAAACATTTATGCTTCTTTCCAAGTTACATAGCAAAATGTAGTTACACACATACAGCATTTATATTTCAAAACTTAAATGCGTTTTCCCAACGTTTTGGTGTGTACCGCAAAGAATTATGGGTAAAATCCTTCGCCAGAGTCCGCTTAGATGCAGGCTACGGCAAAGTGTGGATCAGGGGCGCAAAGGGTTTGGGGCGAAAGACCTCCCTGGAGGATCGGGACACCCTAAGCACCCATCATCGGGAACGCGCAAATGAGGGGCGCGAGGGTGGAAGTGCGAGTATTGGGACGGGGCCACAGACTCAAGTAAAACACTTTTGGGCGGGGCCTGCAATCAATGGCGGAACGAGACAGGAAGTAAAACTAAAACAAAACCACTGGAGAACAAATGTCAAAATAAAGCAAAATCCACTCCATGACAATGTAGTTCATTTATATATCATTATTTTCCTGAAATGCTCTTATGTTATTTTTAATTCAAATGCAGTCTTTTCAGGTTTCTTTCTTTCTTTGGCAGATAAAGCCCAGCCCTTTTTCCTAGGTGGTCCTCGACTGGTTTTGGAATTATGGACAAACTGTTATAGCTGTCTTTCAAGTTATATTCACCCGGTTTAGCACTTATACATTACTGACTTAGATACATCTGGTGGAAAAATGAAACACTGTTTTCAGGGAAAAATCTGAAAACTGGTAGCTCCAGGAATACTAGCAGGTTCGTATTTCTTGGAATCCTAGAGTTGTTGAGATCATTGCAATTTTCTGGTATTATCAATGATTGAACTCATACGACATGGACAATGATCTGCAGTTTACTTTTCTTAATCTCAGCGTTAAAAGTGTTTTTTGAGCTTGTTTAAAATGTTAGGATTTTTGTTTTGTTTCAGATCAACTTCTTCATATTCATCAGGATCATCAAAATACTGATGTCTAAACTTCGAGCGCACCAGATGAGATACACAGACTACAAATTCAGGCAAGTTATTCAACAAGTGAACAACAAACATTTCAAGCAAGCATGTCAAACTCTGGTCCGTGGGCCAAATCCGGCCGCGAGAGCATTTTTTGTGGCCCCTGAAAATATTTACAATTTACTTTATCACAGCAACTTTCAGCATTGATGGTGATAGGCTACTATGGCATGTTATACTTCATTTTAATGCCTATTATCTCAGGAAAACAACCCTAGGATTGAATCTGTTCTGAAAGGTTAACAGAAATGTAATTAGATGTTATAGTTTTTTATATTTAATTATCAGTCTTCTACTACATCGCTTCTTTATATTTGGCCCAGTTCTGGTTGAATCTACACTTACACTTTTATACTTCTGGTCCCAAGCAGCTCTTATGTTTTAAAAATGACACTCAACCAAAAGGAGTTTGGCACCCCTGATTGAAAGTGTATTTCCACACCCTGTGGACTGTGCAAAATCTCTTGAATGGTTTTGAATTTCATGTCCAACTTTTTCTGTGTCCCTGGAGGTAAAAATGTCACATTTAGTACTGTTTTTTTTTCTGATAAAAATATGAATTCTGTTTTTTTTTCTTACAACAATAGCCATGCTAAGGTCCATCCATCCATCCATTTTCTACCCTTTAATCCATTTCTGGGTCAGGGGGGTGGCAATCAGAGATGCCACCCAAGTCTCATAGCACCAGCCCCTCACTGACCCTCTGCAGGTGGTGAGTCCACAGGAGGACGGCTGCTCTCTGACTGTGAGCATAGCCTTGATCTTTCAGTGGGGGCTTTGGGCAAAGTGGGGTTAAGTGTCTTGCCCAAGGACACAACGACAGCAGTCATCAGTGGGAGTCTAACCTTTGTTTGAGAAACCTTAGCCATGCTAAGGTTTCTCAAACAAATTACCCAATCAGAAAGTTCTCAGAGTCAAACCAATCATCCATCATTTTGGTTGCCAGTTTCTTTTAGTGAAATCCAGCTGGTTTGGTCTCTATTAGCAGCACATGCAGTCTAGCTAGTGGAGCTGTGTGACATGGACATACAGGAACACACTGGAAGTTCATAGTAAGATGTATCTGTAGTAACTTACAGTAGTAACTTACACATGTTCATTCAAACTATAAATATGATGTCCTTATTTCCCATAGGTTAGCAAAGTCCACCCTGACGCTGATTCCTCTCCTGGGGATTCACGCCATCCTGTTCACGTTTGTCATCGATGAGTCGGTCCCTAAAGGCTCCGTTGCTGCGTCTCGTCCGTCTCTTCTGTGACCTCCTCTTCAACTCCTTCCAGGTCAGAGGTTCTGAGCTCTTCAGTCTGTGCACTCCTCCTGTTGCACTGGGATTTATACTGTTTAAAAAGTACTCACATGTTGCATACATTCATCATTATTCATGTGCCGTGTTTTTGGATCGGTGTATGCCAGGGGTAGTTGGCCAAAAGTGTCCAGGAGCCAACAATATGGATTCAAAACTGTTTTCACCTGTTTCTGAGCTTTGAAATTAAGTGTGTCATGTCCATATTGATTCAACAACTGAAGACAGCGACATTAGTGCCATATTCAGAATGCTGTGACCCAATCAAATACAAATATCAGTATAGAGTATAAATACAGATAAAGTCAAACGACAGGATCCAGAGGTTCTGGGCTTTACAATGAGGTATAACATGCATTTATTTGTGAAGCTGAAGTTGGCTGTATGACAATTGTGTGACCTCAGGGAACATCAGGTGCCACAGTGGGGCGGCTGCGGCTGTAAAGTGCCGAACTGTTGTTGTGTCCTTAGGCAAGACACTTCACCCCCATTGCCTAGAATGAGTCTAGTGTGTGTGTGAATGGTTGGTGGTGGTCGGAGGGGCCAATGGCACATACTGGTTGCCTCGCTTCTGTCAGTGTGCCCCAGGGCAGCCGTGGCTACAGTAGTAATTTATCACCACCATGTGCAGAGTGTATAAATAATGATGAAGTGTCTTTGAGTGAAACCAATGCATTATTACATACCTCTTTTATGTCCTGTGAATTTCAGAAATGCGATATAAAGCAGATAAAAGATTGAGCCCTGAACTTTAGAAGAGATAGAACACTACTTTTAAACACATAATACTCTTTTATTCACTTGTGTAAGAAAAAAGAAAAAAGTTCAAGAAATAGAGAACATTATAGAACTGATGACATCATTCAATAGATTTTGGCGTAATTAGAAACATATCCCAAATTTGAAGTTTGGATTGATCAATTCTGTACCCATATTTTTCAATATTGTGCATATTCCTGAAGTCTTGTTTCCACACATTTACTGACTGTGTATGTGGCACATTTATCTTGTTGTTAGTCTATTCTTTAAAGCAAAAGGTTCAAGGTTTTGACGTAATCTTCTTCTTGTTGAAGGGCCTGCTTGTTGCCATCCTCTACTGCTTCGTCAACAAAGAGGTGAGCTTTATCTTATCCTGTCTTGAAAAAACATGAAAGTGCTGTGCCCTTCTGTCTAAAGACAATGTGTCTCTGTTTCCGCATCCTTGATGCACTGGCATCAGTTAAAAGCAGATATCCATCCGTCTAATCTGCTGCTTCTGCCTCTGTGCCTCCGCAGGTGCAGTCAGAGATGCTGAAGAAGTGGAAGCGCTGGAAACTGGGCCATGACATTGACGAGGAATACCGTCACACTTACAGCCAAACGCCAACACGTGAAGAGCGGCAGCATCGCTACGGGCAACCTGGCAGACATGGACCAGTGCTGCGAGTCGCCTCAACACGCCACCGCTGCACGGGGAGCCCGCTGCTCCCTCGCCACCGAGGAGAACCGCAGACTTGTGGTCTGCTACAGCAACGGGACAGGTAAAAGCCGCTCCCACAGAAGCCACCTGCTGCAGTTCTCCTTCTTACCACTACGGGCGCTGCAGGTCGGTCCAGAACGTCCATAGAGGATGTGTGGACGGAGGAAGGAGTGCAATGTCGCGTCGGACCACTAGAGGGAGAGGAGACCAGCGTCTGAAATGGACTTTCACCAACTGCATAAGCATGTAACTGCAGTAAACTATTTTTCCTACTGAGAAATAAGTATCGTTTTGGAAACCTCTGTGAACTTACGACAAAAAGAATGATTTAGATATTATTGTGCGAGGTGTGTGTGCACTGCTGTTCCGTGTTACCGTTGTTCAATGTTTTTTGCATACTTTGTGTGTGTGCATCCAGAACATCCATCTTTTAGTAATGATACTTATGAGTATAGTGAGAAACCAGAGTCTCAAGGCAACAACTTTGAGGTTTGTTTATTTATTTTTTGTACTTATGTATATATTTTCTTTGTACAATTATATTTTGTTGAAAATTTCTGATTTTTATTTTTTACTTACAGACAACCGTGTCCAAATGGTTCGCACAGTGAGATGCCAAACAGACTTTTAGTTGAATCATCTTTTATTGGTGCTTTAGTAGCAGTGTAATTGAAAGAGGTCGCTCGGTGCAAATGCCAACTTTTTAATAATTGTATTTTTTTATGACAAGGCCAGTCTCAAAGAAAAAAAGCAATTCAAGATTATTAATGTCTTTGAAAATGTAGTTAATACACAATACTACTTGATATTTCTGAAAGACGACAACAGAAGACTTTGCATTTGAGTATTTGGACAAAACTGTATTTATTCAATGATTTCAGAACGTTTAAAGCTTCTTCACTGAACTAATTGCATGTGAAAATGCTCGATGTTTTCCAGGAGTTCACGTGTAATGCTGTTGAGATGTGTTCTTAGTATGAAGGGTTGACACGTGACAGACTTGCTGCACTTTCATTAAAAACAACATTGCTTTGCTTTGTGTTGCCAGTCTCAATGGATTCAATTAAAGAAGGTGTCAGAAAAAACGTCTGTAAGTGCCAGTTTGCTTCATGAAGTGTTGTCAATTTGTTTTCATTCTCAACAAGTCATCTTCAGAAAGTCAGATTTTTAGATTCAGCTTGAATAACGGTGGCTGAGCGGATAGAACTCTTACTTCTCAGCAAGAAGGTCATGGGTTTGAATCTAGGGCCTTTCTGAGTGGAGTTTGCATGTTGTCCTTTGCCTGTAGGTTTCCTCCAGATGCTCCGGTTTCCCCTTCCACTTAAAACATGCACATTACGTATGAATGTAATGAATAAGTGAATGGATGGTCTCTGTTGTTGTGGGTCGTGGAGAGTACGGAACAATATCTGAACTCGTAAATGTAAATAAAGCGGACTTACTTACTTACAATGCAGTAAAAATCAAAATAGGAATCTTTGTGAGAATAAAGTACCAATACATTTAGATTTACCGTTCATGCAACAACACCAGCGTATAGAAGAAGGTGAGGAGTATAGAGGACAAAGATCCATCCTTCATATATTTTTACGTATTGAAACGACGTAGGACAAGCACGATGCATCTACATGGATATTTGAAATCAGCTGCTGGTTCACAACTGTATCTTGCACCATTGAGAATATTGTCATTGTTGTCCTTCAGCGTAAGCCACTTGCCGTATTATAAGTCATCCTCGTGTCTGTGGCTCAGATACATAGGTTCACATAAGGGGTTGGAATAGGTTTAATTTCACCACTAAAACTGTGTGCTTCTGGAGAGGAGCTTCTCTGAATCTTACAGGGACCAAAGGTACTTCACTCTGTCTGACAAACTGAGGCGCCTGGACTGGGAACTCAACAGTGAAACTGAGAATGAACATAAATGTCTGCTTGAGCACCAAGACAATAAACAATGTAGAAATCTTGTTTATGTAACTGAGGTAAGAACAGGCAACTTTTATTTGTAGAAAGTGTTCAACGCATGGAAATCTACTGTTTCTCAACCGCTAATCATAGTTCTAATCTAGAGGAAAACTGTGACACTTTGATGCAATCTTGTCCCGAGACTGTGAAGAGACTGGAGCATTTCAAGTTTGTTACACATCCAAAAAGGGAAGAGGCTGTGCAAATGCCATTGTGCAATTTCAGAAGAGCTGAATCTCAACTCAGGGTTTAATTCAGGGATTTTTCATGACAGACGGCACTTTGTCAGAAATTAAAAAATCAGAGTGTGACTATGTGAGAGTTCACAAACATGGTTCTCCCTCCCTCCTCATTTTCAATTTTGTCAGAAATTAAAAATTATGGCACAAACATTTTCTCCCTCCCTCCTTTAGCAGTTTAGTTGTTTGGATTTGGTGATGGAAGGTCCAGTATGTTTGTGTAAGTGTGAAAAGCCTGAGAAAACAGCCCTAAACTGTGCAGCAGATGTATGGTTCTCAGAGTGGGCATTTTGACTGCAAGTCACCGGGGATCATTGTGGAAAATACATTACATGAAAACAACTCCTCGAATCCAAAGGGCCCCATACTTTTCCTAAAAATCCCCTTTGGGCAACTCTGCACAAACATCTGAGAGCTGTAAATTCAGACTGGGAAATGTCAATGAATGTGATTCACATTAAAATGATTTTGGAAATCCATTAGGTTCAATGTGTATAAACAAAAAAACATCATACAGATTGTCAGTCTATTGGACAACAACAAAATCCATCTCCAAATCAAAAGCCTGTTTAAATGATTCATCATGGTAGTGTATATGGCGGTTAATATTGAATGAGCATTCACAAGGCTATTTCCTTTTTTTTCTATTAAAATCCACATTCTTCAGTGAAATGAATGCAATGCATGGACTCTATAATTGGTAAAAAAATATTAGGCTGCAGTTCACCTCCATGATGTTCACCTCCATCATGATGTCCGCTGTCACCAGGTTAAATAAGTAATGTCTCATTTATTTTGGGGATATGTCTCCTATTACCTTGACCTTTCTCAGTCTTTAGTGGCATTATGTATTTCCTCATTTCAGGAGACCAATAATTATACAATTATAAGATCCACAACAAAAGCAAAAGGCCATAAATCCAGAACTTGTTTGTGAACAGCATTATTGAATCCTGATCAATCACTCCGTTGACTTTCACCTCCTTCATTTTAGACCAACTTTCTAGAACCCACCGTTTCCCAGTCGTCTTTATTAATAAACATTTTTAGAATCATGTGTATTGGGAAGCTCTCCTTCTTAAAAAAAATAATTATAGGCGCATAATTTTTACAAATGCATGTTTTAGTCTTAAAGGCTGAAATATATAATGATAGATATAAATATTCAAATCCATCAGTCCATTTTCTAGTGCTGTATCACATGGCAGCAGTATGAGCAGAAACAATCATACTTCCTGTTTATTGCCATATTGCCACTGTTTCCTTGTCACATTTTTATTGTACATAATAGATCCTGAAAAGACTATATTTTTTGCCTTTAACATGTTTTCACACTTCTGTGTTTTGCACAAATCTTGAGTGATTCTATCCATGCCAAATGTAACATGTAAATGTCTCCTGTGTGAGATCAATAAAGTCTGTCTTATCTTATCTTCCTGGGAATCCTGAAACGTTCCCAGGCCGGCTGAGATACTTATAGTTCCTCCAACATGTACTATGTTTTCCCCGGGCTCTCCTCCCGGTGGGACAGGGAGGCTTCCACGAGGCATCCAAAACAGATGCTTAAGCTTCTCCTGGCTCCTCTCAACATGGAGGAGCAGCGACTCTACTTCAAGTTCTTCCTGTGTGTTGGAGCTACTTGATCAAATGATCCATCCCCTTCACTTTAACCCTATAGATCAGACCTGACAAACTCAGGTTTGTGGGCCCGCAAAACCATTTTTAGTGGCCCCTAAAATTATTTTCAAATAATATTATTACCTTGCAGCATTGTTGGTCATGGATGGCCAAGGCATGTACTTTCACAGGAAAACAACCAAATGTTCTAAAATTTTAACCCAACACATCATTAGAAGATACATTTTATTTGGTCCAGTTTTGGTTAAATTTAATAAATAAAAAAAAATTCTTCTCAGGAAATTAAAGCTGCACTAACTGACTTTGGTATTTTGAAGCCGCGGACTCGCTGGCCTCGCTCTTTCTGCTCCCCTCCCCGCACCCACGAAGCTATCGCCCCCCACACACACTCACTGTTGGGACGGAGTTAGCGTCTCCCAATATGGATAATACATGGATATGGATTTTCACGTGGATGGCGTGACCATAGAACAATAGAACCGGGAAGCGCGGAGGAACAAGACTTTCTTTTGGATGGCTGTCTCGCTGTGTAAGCAGTAACCGGTGACGAAGACGAGGAAGTTTCAGGTTAGCTCCGCCGCTTGTTGTGCTAACTCAGCTGTCTGTGCTAACAGGGACCTGTAGATTTCATCTAAAAGTCATGTCAAAATACCTCCATAATGTAAAAAACAATTATAAGAAAAGGAAATCCCTTCTATTGCTTGCTTGCAGTCACGTGACGCATAAACTTCCGGTTGACGAAGCGGTGGTCAGGCCAGCAAGAGTTGCTGCTGATATATGAAGAAAATGCGACTCTTCCGAGTATTTTTTTGCTTTTTTGGATATTTCATTACAATTTGAAGCTACTGTGGTGAACGTTCTAACTCATCATTCTAACAATATGCACAAGGCAGAATTTTTCCACAACATGTTTTGGTAAGGGTTAGGGTACCGCGGCAAATGCTAATATGTTAATAATGCTAATAAGTCTCCATTCCTCCGCTGTATAATATCACTTACATTCTGTAACGTCTTTGTTTATGCTGCTTCTACCATCGACAATAAAACATGTCTTCTGTCTGAATTAAAGACACGATCCTAGACTGTCATTTTCTTCACTTTAGATTCTAATCCACTAGCTAGTGTTACAATCATGCTTTTGCACTGCTAAACAAATGAAGGTTTGGAAAAACATGGATGCTGAAACTTTTCCGTCTGTGGGTTCAGGAGCTCAGAGTTAAGGTCCTGAAGGACAAATCCTGCATCGTACAGAGCCGTGTAAGTAACGATTGGTGAATGAACTTGTCATTCTCAACAAAACAATGCG